TAATATTGGGGCCTTAAGAATTACCTATACTATTTTGGGGGGCTCCCGATTAATTGTAATTATAGTATAACCTGCCCCAAAACCCTAGACCCTAAACCCTAAACCCTAAACCCTAAACCCTGTTCTGATTATTTAGAGCCCTATTTTACACCCAAAGCTCTGACTGGGGAGGCTCTGACACCCCCGGAAGACTTGAGCACCTACAACGACGCCATCAGCTTGTCTACGGGATGTGCGCCGGCGGCGCAAAGGGTGCTGAGAGGTTTTCTGTTTTTGGGGTGTAGGGTTTAGGGTTTAGGTTTTAGGTTTAGGGGTTTAGAGCTTCGGGTTTAGGGTTTATGGAGTGGTTTACAGTGATAGCTGATAGACACAATCCTGCGATACCGAAAGCACGTGAAGCTGCGGACAGTCTTTCTTTTCTTGTATGAGCTTGATCATGATTATGCTTAATCCGTGGCAGGCCTGCTTTAACCATAAACAGCAGGGTTTAGGTTCAGGATTCTCTGTTGCAGCTGAAAGGTTCGAGCGGTGTTGCTTCTAGGAGTGTGGGGCCTAGTTTTCTCAAACCTTGAACCCCAAAGCCTTAACCCCAGCCTCGAAACAAAGATATCAATGACAGCCAGACCCCCAATCCTAGCATAGAAGCCTGAATTGTTTTCAATATTATTCCTTACGGACCTTTATTCTAGTTGTAGTATGATAGACCCCAAAACCACGTTCCCATTATGAGGGACCGATTTTTGGGTAGGCTCCCACGAACTCTGAACTTCCACAGAAAAGGGGCGCATTGCACGTAAAAAAGCAAAACCGAACCCAAAACCAAGCCAAGGTTGCGAGAAGTTGGAAGACTGTCCGCCTGATAAGGCTCCTCCGGTTTCAAAGGGTTTGATTGAATTTATCGGGTTTCTAGATGGGTTAGTGTAGGGGTTTAGTTTTGTTCGGGGGCCTTGGTTTTTGAAGCGAGGTTTTGTTGATTTGGGATATATCATAGTCGAGTTGTAAACCCTATAGACGGTTTATGATTATAAGGAACCCAGCAAGTAGTGTCTGAAAAAACGTCCGGACTGGTGTCTAAACAAACCGTTCATTGATTTCTGCAATAAACAAAAGTGGGAGCGCGCTGCAACTCCTGTTGAAGTCGTCTCGATGGAATGACTCTCGGGTCATATTATACGGGCCCAAAAAACCCTAAACGGCTCCGAGGAGTAGCATTCCTTCTTACACAGGCTTCTGCATTCGCGATTCTTTCGTTTAGTACGGTTTGTTCACGTGACGGGCGGCTCTAGCTACTTTAATTCGGGTTGGCTTATAGGGTTTAGGGCTCAGGGTTTCGGGTTTACTTAGGGCTCTTGTCCCGGATTGGGCTTCCCTGTAGTAGCCAGTTTACCAAAGTCAGTCCCTACAAAACCCCAAAGTCTAAGCCCGGAAACTCCTAAACTTATTAGGGTTAGGGGTTTAGGGTTTAGGGTTTAGGGTTTAGGGTTTAGGGTTTAGGGTTTAGGGTTTAGGGTTTAGGGTGAACTACTCCCGGGATCCGGTCCCCCGGACTCCATCCAGATCGGATTTGCGGGAATGTGGGATTTTGCAGCTTCTTACGCGAGTTTCAACTACCGGCCCTCTGGCACCCCTCAAAAAGGGAGGATCTGGGTTTAGGGTTTTCTGATTTTTTGTCATTCAAGGAGCCCCAATTTGGGGAATACGGGCGATTTCAGCCTCGGGGTTCATCCTGAGACCAGAACTCAACCCCGCGCAAATGTTCCCAAGGCGCGTGGCAACGGCCGCGCGGTACGGAACGTAGTGGAGGCGGGGGAAGAAAAGGCTGATGCTGGCGATCCACAACCCTACACCCTAAACCCGAGACCCTAAACCCGCCTAAACCCTATTTCATGGAGGGTTCCGCACCCTAAACCATGCTCGGCACAAGGGCGTCTAGAGCTCTTGAAGCGAACATCAGACCTCCCCAAAACACTCCTTGGGGCAAATCCACGCTTTCCTTCATCAAGACAAAGACCCGACGGCTCTAAACTCGACATCCGTGACGCAAAATGAAATCATACCCTGCTGTATCCTGAAACTCTACAACTGCAACTCTTTAGATTCCAATTCGCCGAACATCGTTGTCTCCATGTATAGATCCCGCATAGAGCCCTTCAAAAGATACCCCCATTATAATAATACAACACTAACGACACCTGAACCACCCAGAAGCCCTCTTACCTTTTCCGAAGGCAGCCATTCGGCAGATGGCTCGCCGGCTACAGGGAACCCGGGCGGCCAAGGTGGCCGAACAGTGTCTGTGAGGGTTTAGGGTTTAGGGTTTCGGGTGAGGCCGCAGGGTTCGTTTCGTTTTTGTCTAAATTCAATTTTGCAAGGCTTTGTACTAGGGCTTTAGAAGGGTTCGTCAGATGTTTTAAATGGGATTTTTGGAGCTTTGCGGTTGCAGGAGTTTCAGGGAGGGTTTTCAGGTGTTTAGTGCGGGTTTTGAGCTTCTGAAGCCTTGCAAGGCCTTATGGGAGGGTTCTAAGAATTTTTAGAGGATGTAAGGGTCTATATAGGGTTCTAGGTCTTTTAGCAAGAAAAGAAGACAAGCACACACAAGATACAGACACAGACGCCGACCCCAGAGACCACCGGCCACCGTGGCAGGAGCACGATTTCGGGTTGCGTTCTTCACGCCGTAACAGGAGCATGGTAGAGTACACGAGCGCGGGAGTGTCGACGGGGCAGAGCTTGCCCTGCCCGTGAGGGATTCTGGCGAGAATGCGGTTTTTATTCGAACATATGCATGTGGTGCAGCGGGAGTCGGGGAAGTGACCTATTCCGGCCGAACTCGGGCCCATGAACCTCGTCTCTTGCGGTTTCACATAAGATTCCCAGCTTAGACTACCACGCAGCCTGGCAAACAGAGATGAAGTCATGGTCGAAAAATTTTGGTGGAACGAGCGCCCGGACCGACGGCAGAATATGGCCCCCGCAAGACGTCAGGGTGGCCAATAAGGCCCAGGTGATGAAGGCCTGCCATTCCTTCTTTCTCTTCGGCATCCTGCTTGGTATGAGGAAGTGCCAGAGGCGGAAGTCGAGTGGTGCGGGACCTGGCCTTGTCCTGCTCCCAAGACAACCCCGGTCTTCGCCCTGGTTTCGGTCAGATTGCGGACGGCTTCCAGGCCCGGCCTGCAGCTGTCCCCAGGTGTCCTTCCCCGCGGAGCGTGGAAGCTGGAATGCTGCCCATGTGAGCGCATTCCTGAAGCGGGTGCGGCCTGCCAGCGGGTGAGAGTTGGGTTGAGGTTTCGTTAGGGTATGAGCTATCGCAATCCGAATAATCCCGAAGCAACCAAAAGCTCTGATTAGGAAACGCATTGCTATGAGGGCTCGTCCTTGCGAAGCAGGAGGCGAAAGTAGCCCAGATGTCCGAATGACCCAAAGCTTCACGTGCGAGAAGAGGTGATTCGAAGCCCAGGTGTGAAACATCTCAAGACCAAAAACGACAAATGAGCCCAAGCCGTTAGCGACCATAAATTCAAACCCTGAAAGCAACAAATCGGCTAAACCTCTCAATCTTTGGACCCGGCAAGAGCTAAGGGTAAGACTTGAACATCATACTGTTTTGGGATGTTCAGGGGCTGTTCACTGTTTTTCTTGCTGCAGTCTCAGGCGTTTCATGGCGTTGTTCAGGCTCTGTGCATTCTTGCTTATGGTTTTTGGAAAGGAGCCTGGTGGTGTCGCTCCGTGCTCATACCCATCATCTCGTGGACAGGCATCGCACGAAGAAAAGGATCATGTGAGTTTCGTCCGGCACAGACTCTGCACCTGTATCAGTCTTTGCTGCTTGCGCACGGGTCTTTCAACCACTTGTCTCCACCTTCAGCTGCTTGTTTGTCGTGGCTTTAACTCGCTGGAAAGCAGCACTGTCATCAGGCAGCCGCAGAAGCGGTGCTCTGTGCAGATTCTGTGAAGGGCCCCACCAGCCAGAGCTAAATGCCACGACACGTTCAATCGAATCGATCGAAGGATGCCTGACGAATCGCCTAGTGCGAAAATGCTCGGACGACAAGCCTCCAAATTTCCACTCTGCTGAGGGTGGGGTCAGGGCATGCACGGAAGGTTGCAAAAGCCTAGATACCTAAAATCGTAGGTTAGAGGTTCCCGAGTGGCAGGTGGTGCTTCCGAAGCTTGTGAAAGGTGGGCGTTTCTGCTGCTGCATTTGGCCAGGCACGGACATGGCACGCACGTCTGCGCTGCATGTACTTAGCTTCCTCATGCCGTGAAATGAACGTCACAGGCGTCACCCGCTTGGGAACATTCGCGTGCTTGTCTTCATGCTGAGCTGGCATCTGGCCAACGGAAGGACTGGTGATGTGGAGCGACTACGCAGCAACTTGCAGCTTTTGGACGGTTTCTGCCTCCGGACAGCATCCACCTGTTCCGGAGTGGATAGCTGCATTCCCGTGGTAAAGCACACGTTGGCTGCTTTGAATGAACGGTTCAACGTCTCCATCACCACGAAGCACGTATTGTCCTGTGAATTGGACTCCACTCGGCAGGACTTTATCCGGGACGCGCATGCAGAGGAAGCGGGGCTGTTGGTGGCCGATTGCGAGGAGTTCAGCAACAAAGCATTGACTTGCATTTTGCATCAGGCAAAGGTGGAGGTTCCGCAGGCGGACCTGCTTATCTCCGGTCCCAGCTGCACCCAGCTGTCCCAGCAACGCCGGGACGCGAAGGACTTTGTGGGGTTGTTGGAACCAGGCAACGAGAACTCCCAGTGTGAGTCCTCCGTCACCTACAAACAGGGCGTGTTGATGGCAGCAAGACGCATGGATGTTGTGGCGGGGATTTATGAGAATGTGTCTACAGTCTTGCAAAGCCGGTCCGACAAGGCCGGCCAGCTCCACGCGACGCCCGTGCAACAAATTGAGGGGGACCTGGCTGATTTGGGGTTCACTTGGCAATGCAGGAGACTGGACACGCAAACTTTTCTACTCCCCCAGCGCCGCAACCGTGCTTGGGGCATGTACACCCGGCTCTGCGAGGCGGACGCAAGCTCTGATTATGGTAACAGGTGTGAGGAGTTCAACGAGTTCTTCACGGACCTGAGCAGCCACGTGCACATCCAGGAAGGACTGTGGCAGGAGAGCCTGCTTCACTGGCGCCCAGCACCTGCCAGCGCAAGGACCACAAGATGGTCAGCCACTTATGTAAGAGCCAGGAGGAAAAGCGGGTCACTTCACCGCTGTTGCAGCTGCACGGAGGCAAGCCCGGATCCTTCTGCGAAGGAGCTTCCGCACTTTCCAGTGTTGCACCCGCTCTGATGAAAGGAAGGGTTACACACGGCTTGAGGGTTTACGGTCGAGGGTTTGGCGTCTCAGGGTGCAGGCTTGAGGAACACCATGTCAAATATGCCCACACTCAAGCGCTATGTAAACGTTTTCCAAAGTGCACAGACAGCTGAAGAATCAATGTTCCAGGTTTCTGGTTAGAGGCACAGTGCCCTGATGCCCCCAGGAGAGTAAAGCACAAAAAGCACGAAGACCGAGACCCTACCGTAAACCCATACACCCTTGGTGCTTGAGATGAAATCAATCAGTAATATCTGCTCAACCCATTTTATTTTGTCCTATATCTTAAGTGGTCCCTAGCCCCTAAACCTGCACCATTCCAAAAAAATCAAAACCCTCAACCTTGTCCTTCATTATCCTATCGTCCACCTTGGGAGCTTCTTCTATCGGTATAGGTCTATGGGCTGGGGCTTACGGGCGGAAGGTCGGGATGCTGTGCTGAGCTGTAGAGGGTTTAGGGCCAGTTTGGGGTTTGAGGGCTTAAGACTTTAAGGCTTGAAGGGCTTAAAGGCCTTAGGGCTTAATTAGGTACTTTTGTGGCTCCTGAACCATAGAAGTAGCTCTTGAGATTGCGACCCCCCAGCCTCCTGAACCCTATCGCCTTTGTGGTTGAGTGCTTGGGCTTCTACTTGATGGAATCTAGTAAGTCGGGCATGCACTTAATGGAATCTAACAAGTGGGCCATGCGTGCGTTCTTCCCAAACACTCAATCCCAAACCGCGGCTTGGTTTAGGAGTTCCTGGCTTGATGCCGCCAGGAGGAGTACAGCAAACTCCAGCCGGAAGATTTCGCTGCACGGAGCTTAGATCAGGCAAAGCCGTCTCCCTAGTGTTAACTTCGCTTTAACAACCCAGATAGATTTCGGCCCCAATCAAGGGGGGGATTGACTATTGAGGGCGGTCCTCTTGGGGGGGGATTGTTTCGGAGCACGGTTGTCTCTCCATAAAGCTCCTTCCCTCCGGAGCATAGGGTTCATTATTGAGTTCCTGCGGTTGAGTATTATAATTGAGGGGGGTTTATACTTGAGTTCCGGAGATCGGGTTTTGTAACTGAGTGGGGATTATAATTGCCAAGTTAATATTAAAAAGCTTTTCAGTGCTTAGAGTTTAAGGTCCAGGGAATATGAGCTAGCATTATAAGGTTCAGAAGTGTTCAAGTGGGTTCTATTGTTATATTGTTAGGGCTTTTTGGGTTGAAGGGTTTAGGCTGGACCCAAAGGGTAATAGGCATTTACTCAGGCGCGCCTAGAATCTTCTGAGGAGTGCCCTTGATTCTCTTGGGGTCTCGGAAGTCCTAGATTTGAGGTGCCCCAAAGTTGAAGGGCCGAACCCAAGATCGTCCTAAACCCTAAACCGACCCCAAACCCGAAACTCTCAACCGAAAGCTCAACGCGTTGGACTATGGGCCCCCAACGTGGGGCTTGTTTGGATCAGTCTAGGGATTTGGCTTAAACGGCCTCAAGCGCCTTGCGCCCAAAGTCTAATCCCTATAAGTCACTAGCAATCCTGGAGCCATCCAAGGCCTTAAACCCTAAGCACGGATCCTACCCAACAAGCAACAGATGCCAGATAATCATGCTAGAATAGTGTAAATTGCAGGTTTTGTGGCGCCTTAAGTCCCAAACCCAAAACCCTAAACCCTA